ATGAATAAATGACCTGCTTTGTTATTATATATACATAAAAACAACAAAACTGGTTTGGTTCCATCTTAAGTTTAAAAACCAAATAGAATAGAATTGGATGCCCTGTAGGAAGAAGGCAGTGTGGACAATGTTCTGCTGAGAAAACATGGGTCCTGCCATCTATCTGGATGTTAGTTTGACACGTACCACAAACCTAAGCAATGCTACAAATCCAATAGTGGATCCGACCCGTTGGAGTACTCCCTGATGGCTATAGCCTCTTTCAACAGGGTGACTACAAAGCAGAAATGTTTCAGGAATGGTTTGAGGAGCACAACAATGAGTTTGAGGTTGTTGACTTAGCCTCCAAAGTCTCCAGATCTCAATCCAATCAAGTATTTGTTGACTGTGTAGGTCAAACAAGTCAGATCTATGAAGGCCCTACGTCACTGATCAGTGCTGTTAAAATCTTGGTGCTAGATACCATGGCACACCTTCAGGGGTCTCGTGAACTCCAGGTCAGAGTTCTTTTGGCAGCAAAAGGGGGACCAACACAATATTAAGCAGATCTTCATAATGTTATGCCTGATCGGTGTATGCTCCCGAACTCTGCTGAAGCTCTGCCGTGTTTATTTGCTCATTTGAAAAATAGAGGACCTGTATTTGTGTTTTTAGGATAAGCTAGTCAAAAAAGTGCACATCTAAACATCAGCTCCTTTGTAATCAATGGATGCTTATCATGAGTGCCAAGGGCTCGGACAGTGATAGAGTCTATAAAGGGATCAAATGTTGGTTCAGCACATCTAATGTTCCTTTTGTAAAAAAAAAAAAAAGAAAAAAAGAAAGGAAAAGGTCTCAAATATTGCACACAGAAATCATAAAGAAAAAATCTGTTATCCTTTTTCTGTCTAATGTCTAAACATGCTCCACAGTTGGAGACAAGCCCAGGTCATTTGATTGGAACCTGACCTGTGAACCCTCCAGTGATTCCCCCTCTCCAGACTTTTATTAGCACTGGTCATTTATAGCACTCTTTCAAGCTAATGCTGGACACACTATCCCGAGTGTCCCATGTTCTGATTTTGGTTGAGGATTAAGATAAAGTACATGATTTTTTTGTGGCAAACAATTCAAACCACAAAACAATATATAGATGACATAATTCAGAACACTGCAAAACTACTTTTTCGGTGCTTTCGCCCTGGCATGATGATGTTGACACTGTACCACACTCATTGACCCTTAATTTAAGTGAAAGCTGTTGCTAATGTTAGCTTAAAACTAGATTATATAATTATTCACTTTATGTTATGCAGCCGATGCTGACACGGATATTTGTTCAGTTAAAAATCTAATATGATCAACCAATAACATATCTACGAAATATTTTTTTCTTTCAGATACGCAAAGCACAAACACATTGCCTTAGCATTTGTTTTATTTAGTTATTTATTTACGTGTTTAAACGTAACAAACACAAAAACAGTTTTTTGTGTTTGTTCCAAACACATGTTGCCAACTGGGAACTTGTCAGGAAAAAAAGTCTCAGATTACTTGTTTACGCAGATAACTCTGACTCTGCTCTATCCACTCTGTTTCCATTAGGGATGTTGTGGAGTGCCCTCTGGTGGGCAAACTATGCAACATCGATACTCATAATGTGGTTAAAGGTTGTTTTTTCCATCTTGTCTTTACTTTTTGAATAGATTTTTAAAATCTTTGTTCAATTCTTAAATTAAAACACAGTGCTCACCATTTTTGTGTTTAATATTAAAGAAACAGCAATTCTCTTTCATAGATTCCTTGATTATTTACCTGATTATAACTGCTGGAAGACCAACTACACTGATCCCTGTATTAGAGTATCTTTTTTTAATCCTCAGTAGTGCTTGACACTATTACGTCAGATTTAACAAGGAGTGAATGAAGCCTAAAAATCCTGTCCTGCTAAAGGAACACACCAGAGACATTTATCCAACTGCTGACAGTTGCTGTAGCCAGTTTTAAGCTCAGGTTGACGTTCATATCAACACTCACATTATCTCTCTCTTTCTCTTTCACTAGTATTGAGAAGCTCTTTGGCTGAGTGCTGGGATCAGACTATACACTTACTGTCCAATCTGAGTTGTAAAAAGCAACAAAACTCTGTCAGTATTGTGTCTTGGATGCTTCAGGAATCTAAGACAGAAAGTCCTATGTGAAGGTGTTTTTTTTCACATTTTCTAGTTTAGGTGTGTCTAGAATGATCAACAAAAACGAGAGGCACAGTTTGAGCGGTTTCATCTCCTCACATGTCTAAACAGTCATTTTGAGTAATGACAAACTCTGCTCTGGGGTGAAGTCACTTGTTTGGCCTTTAAATAATATCTAGAGAAGAAAAGTTATAACAATTGAATTTTCCAGTTTCAATATTGGCACATTCAATATTTTCAAATTGACACTATGGTTAGAAAATAACCAACTTGTAAAGACAACTATGGTCAGTGTGGGCACCAGAGAACTTGAATAATTGTTTGTTCAAGTCTTTCATTTTTGAGGGTGGAACACTGTGCTGTGACCGTAATCAGGAGGAAAGCTTCCTGTTCAGCACCCACCCTGCGTCCATTGTGCCCCGGTCACTCAATACTGATTCCAAGTGGCTAAGATTCGCCGCACAGACCACGTGACATTATGACAGACAATGCTCTTTTCTGAAAAAGCTCTCGAGGCTTTAAATAGTGCCCGGTGATATGTCTGGCTGATTATGTCATCTATGTATGAATCCAGACTTTGTCTTTTGATGACAACCAGATTGTTCAGACATACCTACCAAGATGTCATCCAAGGGTTAGTATAGTCCTGTTGTGAAGCCTTGAGCTTTTTCACCATATTGATGTTTGGAAAGCAGGCATGACACATGTGGGGTAAATATGAGTAGGAGCCACTTATCAGTACTTTACCCCTCTTTTCTTTACCTGAATCAAGAAAGTTACAGATTAAACACCACATATTATTCAGCAAGCTTAAAACTAGCAACTGAGACCATGAACTCACAAGAAACTCATTGCCTCAGGTTATAAATCAAAGCCTGTACACTTTGATACAATCAGTTGATTTTTGCAACCAGAGGAGTCTCCCATTCCTAGAAAGAAAGAATGCAGGTTTAAGGCATCTGCGTACTGGCAACCTTTTGATTACCCCCCGAGTCTCTACCTCCTGAGTTTACTTTGCTTACTTTCTCACTCGTTTGCATCTTCCTATCACAGATAGGCATCTTCTCCGGTTGCCAGTGGTTTCGTAACATCTTTCAGTCACTGTAAAACTACTATTGTATTTTAATAAAATATGAACAATGTCTTTACACCACTTAGTATCTCTGGTGTTGCCTAGCAAGAGCACCAGTCAGCTAGTCGCAAGCTTATGCGTTGGTATCGAGAAGAGGCATGAAAAAAAAATCTACAGCTATGATGCTTTTAAAAACAAGCAAGAAAAAAATGTGGGTAATAGACTTTGAATGTGAAGTTATGTAGCCTTCCTCCACTCCGAAGACAGAGTTGGCCTCTATCATGTATACAAATTCTCTCGCACACATACACAGACACAAAACAGCAGCTGCCAGCACCTAGTTTGGAGTCGAGGCTCCACTGGGTGTCTATTTGTAGAATGGAGTCATGTAGTAAGACTTATACTGAAGGACTCCGACATGTTTCAGCTGGACGCACAATGACACATGGGACTTGAACATCGTGGTGCTGACGCTTTACAGGTTTAAGCAATCATCAGCCATCCCTTACTTTGCTGGATTAACACACTGGCTGCTCTCCAGTGTGGAGAGTCAAACATGTTTGCCTCACTGGAGCGTATTTGCGGATATAGCCTGGTGTTGTTTTGATGGTTTGGGAAGTGGTCATTAATTTGAGATGCCAGCTTAGTGTAGCCACATAAAGAGCTATCAAAGAGAATTGTGGCTTTAAAGGAATGCCCTTGGCTTGGACCAATATAGGGTAGAAAGATGATTAACAAATTTATAATTGTAGCCCTAGACAGCTTCTGATGTTTCAGACTGATATTGGAGAAGATTCTTACTATTTTCTCAGTTGAATTCAAGTTTGAATCCTGCGGAGACTTTTAAAGAACAAAAGCAGTTCATAAACGGTGTTTTTGGAGCTGGTGAATATGAAAGTGTTCAGGGATTCTGACTCAGCGAGGCAGCTTGCACTGATACAGACTTTGACATGATACCAAACTTTTTTTTTCTTGTGTGTGAATTTCCTGCTTTGCACAACAACACAACAGCTGGAAAGGGAAGAAACAGGGATGTTTGTGTGTAAAAATAATAATAATAATAATAACAAAGGAAAATGCGTGCAATTAAAGCCACTTCTGTTTTTTCCTGCATGTGTTAGCTACTTACCTCGTATCAGGAGGCTGATTACGCATTCAAGTCTGGCCCCTGCAGGCTTGCCGAACACACTGCTGCTTGGTTTCTTTCACAACTGTGTTTATCCAATGATGTCTTACATGAGATGGAATAAACAGTAATCTGTTACACTGTTATTCTCTCTGTTCCTGGTTTGTACTGGACTCTTTTAGGCTCTTTGTGTCGCTGTCTGACATTCCCGCTTTGCGCAATCCTCAGTTGGAGCCACATTGTTAGATCTCCCAGAAAGCTGAGAGCTCCAGCTGTTTAACACAAACACACACACAGAGATTGATAGCATGAGGAGATATCAGGCGAAGACAGTTTATATATTAGGGATTTCAAAAATTAAAATAATGCTGTGTGTGTGTGTGTGTGTGTAAGTGCGATCTGACACAGTGACCTCTGCCTGGACAGGCGTCAGGGTGGGCCTTTCAATTTCAGCAACCTGCCCAAGAATAGACAGCGAGTTTGGAAAAGTGTGTGTGTGTGTGCTGAGAGTTGATGGGGGAGTGAGAGAAAGGGGGGGAGTATGTCCATGAGAGAGGGTGTGTGTGTGTGTGAGAGAGAGAGAGAGAGAGAGAGAGACTACTCCCAGTGTAGTGTGATTGGTGTTTTGCTCTCCTTCTTGCTATGTGGATTACGGCTCTCCCTGCCTACTGCATTCCTGCTGCTGGAAACGAACACTGAAGCATCCCAAAGCATTTTTACTGGAGTGTAAGGACTTTTAATAGCATTTCTCTTGAGCCAGCGGTAGGCGGACTATTGCTGTTAATTCAGATAAGCATGGATATGAACGGACGTGGAATGCCTCCATCGATACCTGAGGATGAAGCTGTACACCACAGTCCTCACAGCGAGATGAACGGCTACCATCAGAGGCTTCAGGGCGGTGGAGGAGATGGAGCGGAGGATGAGGTCCCCGTGTCCAAATCACAGAGGCGGAAGAGTGATGTGAAAGTCTACAAGGAGTTTTGTGATTTTTATGCTCGCTAGTAAGTAGATCAGAAGTAAGATTTTATTGTGACTTGGAGACCTCTAACCACAGATTTCTGTGAGTGTAGTAAGAAAAGATATACCTCAGTGTAGGATGTTGAATGTGCAAATTGTGCCTTGAGGTGTGTAGTAGTCTTCTGCTTTCCCCTTTCAGCTGCCCAACTGCCAAAATAGCGACAGGACTTAAAGAGTTGTCTTCTTTGCCTGGCTGTATGATGACTGGTATCATCTCATTCTCAGCTTAAGAATATGCTTTTTGTAACCAACATGCCAATTGAAGTGGTAGCAGTGCACACAAAAAGGGATTATGACAGAGAAATTGTGGGTTAAGGACTTTACTCTGCTCATTTGCTGACGTAGCGTTAGTGTGTTAACCCCGAGCTTACGGCCGTGTTACAGAATGTGAAGAATTCTGATTTATTTACTGGGCTTTATCAGCTTAAGCTTCCTTAGGTGCCATGTTTGTGCAGGGATAGCTCTGAGCGCTACAGGAGGGAGCACACAGGAAGAGTTATTTTTGTGCCAAGGGGGGGAGTTGTTATGCAAAGCAGAATATGCTGGCTGGCATTTGAAGTATGTGTGCCTGAAACACAGGAAGGCTAAATATACATACTTTATTTCTGACTGATCAGGGTACATCATCACATGTGGGAAAGCATGAATGTAGGGTCACCCACAGGTTTCTCTAAAGGACACTTAGAGGCCTGTCATCGGAAGCAGTCAATAGAGACAGAAGAGATAGAAAATTTTGTTTTGAGGAAAGCAAGAGCCGTGTCAGTCGTGTAAAACATTGAAATGGAACTTTTCAATATAATATTTCTTTTCGTGTGCTAAGACAGTCATTTCATCCACTGATTTTAGCTCTATCTTTGAGCCTGCCCCTCCCTGTAATCCAACTTTTCGCTGACTGGCTGCACCTAGCAAACAAAAGGTTTGAACAGCAGATGGGTGGGGTTTCTGTGCTCGCAGCCTAAAATGGTCATGTTAGGAATATCCGTTCTCAATGACATCATACAGGGGCCGAGTCAGGAAACCGAGCTGTTGGTTCACGGGGATTACTGGCACATGTGCTGACATCATTTTTTTAAAATTTGGCTATTTTTACTGTGAGCCCTCACCAGTGTAATAAGGCAATTCTTATTTGTAAATCTGTGTTGAAATCATTCTAAGAAAAGCTGAAATTTACCATTGCATGGTCAGAACAGTCAGGTTTTTTATATTAAAGATATAAGAAGAATGAGAAAACACTGAAAAATCAAATCAGAAGACCTGAAGATAAATGGAGACCAGAGAAGGCAGAGTAGAGAGAACAGATGGTGCTCATAAAAAACGATTTTCTTTATCCACTCTTATCCACTTTATATTCACTGTGGAGTTTTAAGAAATCTGGACCCATTTTAATTGTATTAGAAATCATTTTGCCTTCTCTTGACTTGTCCATATGAGCAGTTCATGCAGAAGCTGGTGAGACTTTTTTTTCAGCCTACACAGCCTTAAAAAGAGCCGGATTGTCATTGATTGCACCAGGCTTAAAGAAACAACGTATTTTCTCTGAAATCTGCATCTCTGGCTTGTCTTTGGCTCACACAGAGTGCTAGAAGCTGATAGCAGAGTGGAAATGCCTAAAGGATGTATCACTTCCTCCCACCAAGCCTGTGGACAGGGCAGGGCTCTCAGTGTGTTTGATATCAGCCCAGACAGGGCATATAAAACAATATGCGTCTGATAAGCATGTGAGGAGTGGAAACATCTTGTTTCAATGTGTTCATGTTAAAAGAACCTCCACTCACTCTACCCGTTTGATGTAGCGCGCATTCTTAAAGCCATTTGGCAGACATTTGGAATGATGACCAGTTTAGAGTAAAGCCCTAAACAGTGAGTTAAAATGTCTTGAAGTTTATGGAATTCTTGATGATTCCCAAGTTGGTGTGAGTTTAAATGAACAGATGGCATCACTCCATAAACATCCTTCAACGGCCTTGTGTGCGTACTTCTGTTGCTTAGATACACTGTGGTATTGTGACCTTTAAAACAAAGCAGCGAAGCCGGGACAGTCCCGCTATTCCCTTGTCGTTGTTCCTTTATCTCTGCAAATGTCTGCACATTCCCATTCACCTCCAGTTTGTCTTAAGTGTTAGGAGGTGTTGTTATTCTGAGCAGGGGGCATATGCTTTTATTAATTAACAGTGAATGTTGCAGTTTTGGCATTTGATTGCTTTCTGTGCTTGAGGTCGAGATGAAAATAGTCCAAAGTTCAGCCTGAGTATAATTTGTAACAGAAGTGGGTTTGGAGAGTTATGACAATATAAAGGATCAGATTGGGGAGAATTGTGTAGAGATTGCCATACCGGATTCATTTGGTCAGATCTCTGTGCTCGGTCTAACAAATCCTACCTTTAGGAGTAAATACAGACTGGTCAGATGCACACAGGACCAATCAGCCAAATATTAGATGATAGTATAGCCAAAACTTGTCAACATCTATAAAAACTAGATGCTGTAAATTTGAGCTGACTGTTTGACAGATGTGTTGCACATTTTTCATAATAGATTCATTCAGTTTGAGAGAGAGCGTAGTTTGCCCGTTGCCAGATCAGATTGGCTTGTGTTCCATTTTGTAAATCAAAATCAAAACATCCAGCTGTGTGCCAGCTGTTCATGTGTCAGATTTTCTTTTTATTTAAATGAACTAAACGTTTGGGGGTTTTAACTGTGTGTTGTGACAAATTTTGCAGATGTGATGGTTGACAGAAGAAAAGATTGCAAATAATTCTTTTTGTTTTTTGAGGATGGTTTCATGAATCTCTGTTGCAGGTTTTTGGGTGTGCCTCATAATGTGCTGCTTGTTCTGGCACCGGTTTTTGCAACATAAGGAAATATTAGCCTGGGGCCCACCCCCAGTGATGCATTACAGTTGTGTTTTTAGCAGTACAGCAGTAAAAAAATGTAAGGACTGGTTGTGTGGCTGGCAGAGTTGCACTCAGAATACAGCACATGGAAACAAGAGGATTAAACTAAGCTAAAAATGCTTTTATTAAACTAAAATGAAGTATAAAATAACACAAGCTAAGGAAGGTATAAAAAAACCCCTTTAATAAAGATAATGCAAGGGAGAATACAACCATGAGAGAAGATGTGACAAAAACAAGGGAAGACTGAGGCAATAGATACAAACAAAGGATAACGAGAGAATGGGAAACAGATGAGAACACAGCTGGAGATAACTAGCATAATGCCTAAGGAGGAAGTAAAACTAGACACAAGATACAGGGAGGAACAGACACCAAAATAAAACAGGAAAAGACTGACACACCCAGACTAAGACAACCAGGCTTAACACAGACAGAAGACAAAACATGGAGACCAAAGACAAGGAACAGAGTGGGAATACACAAAGGGGATACACAACCTTCAATTAACTAAATGCACAGATAATTGAACAGTAACCTTAAGATCATAAGAGAAAGCCCGAATGTCAACAAACAGAATACAGAACCATGACACCAAGAGTAATCAAAAATACGAAACCAGAGAAACCCAAAGTTTCTCAAAACAAACAATTCTGATTGTCGAGCAAAACAGCAATAGCTGTTCTGTGTCCTGTGTACTGTTTGTTTGTATATGTGTCTTTTTGGCTGCTGTTACAACCAAATTTCCCCTTGTGGGACAATTAAAGGATTATTCTATTATATTCTATTCTAATAGCTGCTGCCTGTCTCAGGTTTTCCAAACTTTTTTAAAAAAAAATCATTAGACCACATCTGTTCTGTTTTGTTTGGGGTTTTTTGTTCTGTTTTGTTTTCTGTATGAATCCATGTTAGTGCATGCACTCACATTTCTTGGATGGACGAGCAGTAACTTTAGTGTGTGTGTGTGTGTGTGTGTGTGTGTGTGTGTGTGTGTGTGTGTGTGTGTGTGTGTGTGTGACTGGTCTTTCCCACATTACTTTCTCTTTTGACTCAGTATATCTTTCAGCTATTATGATGTTGGTGGACGATACTACATCAGGTGTGTCCTGGCATGACCCTTGTTATTATTATTCTTTAGGGAAATATGTTACAGAAAGAAATTCCTTACAGATGTAAAATCAATGGTAGGAAACAATAAAATATTTTTTATAATTAAGTTAGAGAAATAAGGTTGGACTTATTAAATAGGGGGGAAAACCCTGGGTACCCTAAAGAGGAGCCGTCTAGAGGACTACTCATACATTAATAGCAGTTCTTTTGTAAGCCATAGGAGTTGATGCAGATAAGAAAGTAGTTTACTCAGTATGGCAAAAACAATTTGCAGGGAAGTGGCAACCAGAGACCATGGAAATGAATATTTGGTAACCACAGGTGTGTCACGGTTCTGGGTCAGTTTGACCCAGTATTTTGAGTTGTCATGTTTTTGCAGGTTTAGTTTAGTTCCATGTGTCATTTTCTGTCTGTCTCTCTATGTCGAGTCTGCGTCTTAGTGTGATGGTTTCTTGTTCCTGTTTTATTGTGAAGGTCTGCGTCTCATGTGAGTGTGTTCAGTTTTACCTCTGTCTTGTCTTGTTGATTATTCCCAGCTGTGTCCACCACCTGTGTGTAATTCCCCTGTGTTTCTCTGTGTATTTAAGTCGTGTCCTCTGTCATTGTAGTTGCTGGTCCGTCTGTGTATCCACCATGTTTCTTCCGTGTGTTCCCCGCTGTCACCATCTTATGCCGTCGTCCACCTTGCTTCATGTTTGAGTTCCGGTTCGTATTCAGTAGTTTAGTTGTCTCCAGTCTAGTTTATTTCGTGCTCCATTTGCTGTTTGTCTATATTTATTTCGTGTTCAATAAACCACCTTCACTTCTCCACTACTGCCTGCGATTGGATCCTCATTTGTTATTTTCACACGGCTCTTCTCACCCGCTGTGACAAGGTGAAGTAACGGTTGGCAACACAAAGTAGGTAGGAGCTGAGATAAACTTTGTGACTGACTGAAGCAACCATGAGTGAGAGTAAAGGAAAAAAAAAAAGAGAGTAAAGAATACTGTTGACTGAGATATGACCTGGTACTTAATACAATAGAGGGCTTACCTTGGATACTAGAGCCTGGGATGGTGGCAAGCAACCAGCAGTCACCTTCAAAGCAATGCACGGAGTGACTTGGTTCCCAGCTTTAGGATTAATGAAGGCCAATAAACCGGATTATAGAATACACAGTTATGTTTTCTTAGCATTATGAACCACCTTTAAACCACACAATGATGCCTGCAACAGACAAAAGGCAATGCCCTGACTCAGAGTAAAGTATGGTGTCATCTGCATAAAGCTGCATTTTAGCAGTAAATCAATTCTTTTAAATTGTGTTTTTAAAAATAGAAAAAAACGGGTCTAAAATTTAACCGTGGGGGACTGTCCAGAAAACTTGACTTGTATCCATCTGTATAAACACAGTGAGATATATCCGCAAGGTAGCTCCTGAACACAGTCACCCAAACCAACATCACTGAGTCTGCCTAAGAGCAGGGTTTGCTCAAGAGAATCAGATGCCTTGGATAGATCAACAAACATGGTAGCACAATGTGTCTTTCTGTCCAAGTGAATAATAATGTCATTTGTTACTAACATACCTGCTGCTATGGCACTATTTCTTTATTTGAAGCCAATAATATCTTGAGCGAAGCGAGTTTTGCTTCAGTTGCAAAAGCTTTTTGTAATGATTATATTTTATTTAAGGTTTATATCAACTAATCTTTTGAGTACAGAAATATACTTTGTCCTTGATTTTAAGTTTGTTTTTCTTCTCCTCAGCAACATGGCCAATGCACTGGCCAATGCCATGTGTGAGCGCTGCAAGAGTGGCTTTGACCCAGTAGAGAAGATAGTGAACAGCAATGGGGAACTTTACCATGAACAGTGCTTCGTGTGTGCCCAGTGTTTCCAGCAGTTCCCAGAGGGGCTCTTCTATGAGGTAACATCTTTTTCTTTACTAATCCCATAAAATATGCATGATGGTACCATGATGGTTTGTGCATTATAATAAACACCTGCTAATTGTGTCAACTTTTTATAGCAGATATGCTTCATTGCCTAACAAAGCTTACAATGCAGCTTAACAATAAATTGGCCTTCTTTATATAGTTAGATCAATGTTTAGTGTGAGGGAACTGTCCAGTTAAAGTAAATAAAGAAGGGTGAGCACAACCTTAAAGGATTATTGGATTATTAGAAGCTCTCTTCCAGTAAACCGTTTGCATACTTGACACAGGGCCAGATGTTTTACCGGCTCCAGAGAACCTGTTAGCTCTGATCAGTAAATAAACATCAAAGCCAAGGATGTTAGATGTCATTCCTCATGCTACATGCTCCTATAAATACTCAGATAAAGATTAGCTGCCACATTGTGTGACAGTAAATACTGGAATGGCTGGTAATGAGTTTTTTGTTTTGCTTTTGAAGTATCAGTATCAGCCTCACAACTTGTGCATCCTTGATGATTGTGCTGTACTTCTTGTCATTTTGTCAGCTTTTGCTCATCACTGCTGTGTCAGTTGATACATATTACCTGTAAAATGTAGATTTAAAAGAAAACCCTCTTGATAAGAATGATAATAAAACTCTTGTTTTAAAGGGAAGACTTAATATATAAAGTTTAAATACAGTTAAATGTATACAAAGAAATATGTACAAAAGCCTGTTTATTCTTTTTATATTCTAAAACTGGGTTACAACAGTGTGGGTTTAATTCCCCCTGCCGAACTGATTGAAACACCCCTTCTGTTATTTGACCCCCACCCCCAAACCCACTTTCTTTTCCTGCATATCCTTTAATCGTTCAAAGGAATTATCATTTTTCGTCATTAGACGGTCCATTTTTCCGACACCCCTGTTACTGGATTGTAGCCTGTAAGTGTCACATTCATGATATAATAAAATATAAACTGTGGCAGTCACTCATCCAGATTAACCTTTAGAAAGCTCGGTCATGACACTGCTGTTACACCCAGACAGTGGGACGAGAGATTACCCAGTGGTGCGTGAAGTCAATTTATGCATTTCAGTTTTCTCCAACTGAGAAACAATGACACTGTGCACTCATAAGGTAGCAACTTGTCAATCAAAATATGTACTTTTTTGTTAAATTTCACTCTAACTGGCACCTTAAATAACCAAATAAACATCACGCTGTGCTGAACACTTGAAACTAGTGATGCATGTGGTTGCAAGTGGATGCTTGAGGTTTATGGCTTTTGCTGGGTAAATAATGTCTAAAACTTACAGACCGGTTAGTGAACCCCTGGAAGCCACATGGAAGTCACTAAGGCAAAATGGCAAAAACCTCCAAACTGATTTTTTTGAGGTATAGCATGTTGCTCCAGTTCTATTTTGAATAGAAGTGATGGACTTGTCTACAAACATTTAACAGCTACTCTCCAGTAGTAAAACTGTGGAAAGGGCAACACAAACCAGAAATGCAAACAGTTTGCCCTCAAAATCATCGATTCGTTGTACTGCTGCTTGGCTGGAAGTTAGCAGGTATAGTTTGTCCAGATAACAATAAAGTACTAACAGTGGCCGTGGCAATCACTAGGAGGTTTTTAGTGCAACACTTTAGTTTAGTTGAAGACCCAGCAACCAGCAACGGCAGACGTCTCTCAAGCAATCTGCAGATGATGTCATGTAAGAAACCCCAATACAGTCCGATCTCTTTTTTTTTAAACCAGAATCACCCCCTGCTGGCCACTACAAAGAACTTCAAGGCTACATCCACCTTTTATTTACAGTCAGTGGTTCACACAGTATAATAATTAGAAGTTTGTGTATATTTTAGCTATTTGAGCTTTTTTTTTTTTAATGATATTGTTTGTCAGTGTTATGACTGTTCTAATCTATTTATGTGATCTGTTGACAGTTTGAAGGCAGGAAGTACTGTGAGCATGACTTCCAGATGCTGTTTGCACCTTGCTGCCACCAGTGTGGTGAGTACAGGGAATTAATTAAATCCATCTTTTTTTACCTGCTACATTTGTTTCAAAGGGAGGATGTGGACTTTGTTTCTCTTGACATAATTAATGTCTGCGTAACGTTTGCATTATCATGAACACACCTATTTAAACGTATTTTTTTTTTTTCTCCCAGGTGAGTTCATTATTGGCCGTGTGATCAAGGCAATGAACAACAGTTGGCATCCAGACTGTTTCTGCTGTGATATCTGCCAGGCTGTGCTCGCAGATGTTGGATTTGTTAAGAATGCTGGAAGGTCAGTCATCTACATCAACTCACCACAGTTTCGGTTGGGATTCTTTTTAAATGATGTCTTTTAACAGCTATAGAAAGCTACAGTTTTTTTTTTCTGTAATGCTTTTTATCAGGTACTTTATATTAGAGATGGACCGATCCGATATTACGTATCGGTATCAGTCCGATACTGACCTAAATTACTGGATCGGATATCGGAGAAAAATAAAAAATGTAATCCAATCCATTAAATATCATGAAAGCACCTCACAAAACTTGCAACACCTGTAACTCACCTCAGAACGTTAGCACGTCGGAGCAGTATGCATCACGTGATAGAGCGGCTGTGGCATGCAGGACCTGTTGGTGGTCTGGATAGCATTTGGAGCTTCGCTAGCAACCCGGCATTTAATCTCCGACAAAGTTATCCCCGAGAGAAGTAAAGCAAGTGTGTAAGTCCATCTCTGAATGTTTGTAAAGCATTCCTGCGTTAAGCTTAACAAGCGACTGCCTCTTCTTGATGCTACTTCAATCATGAAACTGCTTAATGATCAGCTGATCGGCTTTTCTGTCACGAGTCCGTCTCTCTTGTTTGTTTTTGGCCCACTTTGCACCAGAAAGAGGAAGAGTGGATAAACAACAGCAGCACGTTTAAGCTTGATCAGCTGTTGTTAGAATTTATTTAATATTACTTTCTACTCGAGGATCTTTTTCTACGTAGCTGACGGCTGGTAACTGTGCAGGGGCGGATCTAGCAAAGTTTAGCCAGGGGGGCCGATAGGGCATTAACAGGGAAAAGGGGGCACAAAGACATACTTTTCTTTCTTATTCTAATTTAAAATGTCTAGCTTTTAATAAATAATTATCTGACAGCCAAAGTTTTAATTTGATGCAAAATGAATAGAAGTCAATTACTGTATATAGTGACTATTAAGTCTAATATATATACCCTAGTAAGCTATAGTACTTTTTCCTTTGGGGAGGTACCATCTGTGCAGTCTGCAATTTTGTTGAAGAAAGATGTTGAATCTATTTAATATTTCTTGAAAAATAATTGATTTCTGTGCATTTTTTTTTTCACACTGCATCAAATTAAGGTTGATTACGTCGATTAAGCATCATGAGGTGGAGCGTGAGGGGTGGTTCCCTATTTTTTATTTATTTATTGTTGTTGCTGGGAGTTGGAACCCTATTAGTTAGGTTGCTTAATATTTACGCTAAGTACTTACTTAAGTTTATTAGATTGATCAGTATTGCTGAACTATGAAATGTTTTTTTTTTTGCATACAGGTATAACAGAATAGCTTTAGTGTAGTTGTTGTTTTAAACTTGAGTATGAACTTATACAAAATGCAGCAAGATATTTTAAAAAAAACAGTTTTGTTGATTAAAAAACACTATATCAGATTCAAATCGGTATCGGCAGATATCCAAATTTATGATATCGGTATCAGTATCGGACATAAAAAAGTGGTATCGTGCCATCTCTACTTTATATAGAGCCTGTCTTACTCTCCCCTGACTTTTATATTGTCTTGGCTCAGCTCTGAAATCTTACACCAAAGCTCATAGATGTAAAACAGCCCTGAATTTTTCCCAACACCTTCTGACAGCGCTGAATGTGAAAACCAAAATACCTGGCACAGCTGGAACATATTAAACAGTTTTAACTTTGCTAGCCTCGTAATAAATAGTCAATCTATTGTCCAACCAAAATAAATGTGTGGTGGTTTTCACACCAATGAGCAAGCATCATTTGTTCTGCGTCTTGCAAGCTCTGCACAGGCAGCACCTTTGTTTAAGCCAAAATATTTCAAGTAGTTAAAAGTTCTACATATGAGGAAGTCCCAACCTAATTTTCACTGTTAGCCTCAGTTAATGTATAAAAACATGTCATGGACACATCTAACTCCTGTGAGAAGGATTTATGGAGGATACTTGTACCGGTATCTGTTTGATTCACTTGAATCACAGAAGACAAAACCAGATGTGGAAAGATCTACAAAACTCATAATTAGGTGATAAATCATCTAAACAAGTATTCTGTCGTTCTATATTTCTCTCCCCCTTGCTGTCCCACCAGGCATCTGTGCCGCCCATGTCACAACAGAGAGAAAGCTCGGGGCCTCGGCAAGTACATCTGCCAGAAGTGCCACGCCATTATTGAGGAGCAGCCTCTGCTTTTCAAGAACGACCCCTACCACCCTGATCACTTCAACTGCAACAACTGCGGGTAAACAGAGACTTTCTATTAAAAAGAAAATCACCGTCAAACATGTTTGAAACAATTGTTAAACAAGGAGCATTTTCAGAAAGGCGTATTATTGCTCTCTGCTGGACAGGTTGTGTTATTGCAGCTGTGTGAAGCTATCTGATCATATTCACATATGCACTATTGTGTTGTGTACGTAAATGACAGCTAAATAAATCTCTTCAATTACAGTAAAATGTACTGGGATTGTTTATTGTGGGTTTTTTACCTTTTCAGTAAGGAGCTGACAGCTGATGCAAGGGAGCTGAAGGGGGAGCTCTACTGTCTACCCTGCCACGACAAGATGGGTGTCCCGATCTGTGGAGCCTGTAGGAGACCCATTGAAGGCCGTGTGGTTAATGCAATGGGCAAGCAGTGGCATGTGGAGGTGTGATAATAAAACAACCGAAAAGCATATGAAAACAGCTTTAGTTACATTAACTTGGCTCAATTTATTCACTGAAAATAGAGTCACCTTGAAGGAGGTAATGTTTCAGTGTGTTCATTTATTTAGTATGATTCGTCAGATTGTATGTGGATCTATTTTAAATCTAAATGATGTATTCTTTGGTTATTTTCCTTGTCTGTATTTAGAACAAACACAGTAATTCTCAGCTGGATTTCATAGAGAAAAGAAAATGATTGCTTTCTATTATCTATATTTTATCCTAGTGAAAAATGTGCCATACTTTTATCCATATTTTTTTTACCTCCACAGTTACGTTTATTGGCTTTATTTTTCCTATTTACATCTCTATTCTTACATATTTCCTTGCATATTTTCCTGTCTTCCCTCCTCCACATGTAGCATCATGTGTGCACTGTGTGCGAGCGCCCGTTTCAGGGTCACCCGTTTTATGAGCGAGGCGGTCGTGCCTATTGTGAGAGACACTTTGATATGGTGAGGGGATTAAGCACCGGCCTTACGTTGGTTACCGCCCCGCCTCCCTGCCTGGCTACAGTCACCCAGCCTCCATACAAGGGGTTACACAAGTATAAAAGTTTTCTAATCAGTCTTTCAACTAAAAAGTGGATATCTTGGCAAACTTTTTTCTTGGGGCCTAATCATACTTCCACCTTAATTTCAAACGAGGTGCTTTTCCTGACTTAACATTTAAGGGTATCTAGAGAGCTTTATTGTCCTGTGACATCTAGAGCTCTGTCTGAGAGTTTATATGTGCTACCAGAAAAAGATAGTGGCTGTATATATAGTATTTATTTTGTAAATGAATGTTAGCATTTAAAAAGTGGATCGTAAAACTATTCACCAAAATCAGCTATTTAAAAAATCCATGCCCTCACATTAATCAAAAATATGTTATATCTCGTAGCTGAGATATGATTTTTATTCATTACCATCATAAAAATGTTATATTTTCCCAATATCCTCTAGAGGTCAGTATTCTGACTTCTCAACTCTCTGTATGGATGCAGTAACAAAACCTTTGAAACAACTGATCTATTTATGTTCTGATAATATCTAAGCTGGACTGTGCTGCTACCTTTAACACAGTCTGAGTGTGGGGTACTGTACTGACTGATGGCTGTGCTAACCATGTGTGCCTGGCTTGGGTTTGCTTGCAGCATTTTGTGTGTGCTAAGTGTGAGAAACCTTTCCTGGGACACCGTCACTACGAACGCAAGGGCCTGGCCTACTGCGAAACGCACTACAACCAGGTAACACACACTGGTACTCGAAATATTAATGTGGAACACCAAAATAGAAATTGAAACATGCTGTTATGTTTAGCCTGTTGTGAAACTCGCATTTCTCTGTCTTAGTTTATGGTATGCATGACTCCGTCAGTATCAGTAACAGAGTTTACATTAGCAGTGAACTGGAACTGTGTGTTCGTCCACAGCTGCTGAAGTATAAAATAAAGATGAAAACGTGAAAATTTGCAGTCGAACATCGAAATGGACAATTTTTTTCTTTCATATGCTTACTGGACACTTTATTGGGTACACCTGATCAACAAATTGGTGTAGCTGACATGAAAGCATCGCCCCATCTTGCCCTGTACTAACAGCTCAGGCTCCTGGTGTCATTTGAGAATCATTAAAACACCTGCTTCAGTATTGTTCCTGACCATGCCCATCACTTTATGACCACAGTGTACCCATCTACTGATGGCAGCTTCCAGTAGGATAACAGACCATGTCGCAAAGTTCAGATCATCTCAAACAGGTTTCTTCAACATGACGAGTTCACTGTGCTCAAATAGCCTTCAGTCACCAGAGCTAAATCCAATAGAGCACCTTTGGGACATGGTGGAAGATCATGGATGTGCAGCTGACAAATCTCCAGCATTTGTGTAATACTATCATGTCGATATGCACCAAAATCTTTGAGGAATTATTACAGCACTTTGTTGAATTTTTGCCATGAAGAATTAAGGCAGTTAAGTTTCCAAAAGGAGGTTCAACCAGGTACTAACAAAGGTGTACCTAATAAAGTGACCATAAGTGTATGTAAGCATTATGGATCTGTTCCAGATATACACGTATTAGTTTTTGTCCAGTGAGTCTAAACCACTTGCACAGGTAGATATGTGTAACATTGAAAGAGAGATTTCTCTTGTCCCAATGCAATTAGCATGATCATGATCATAGATCTATAATATTATATCAAAATGCTTACATTTTTTGGTGGACTTTATCTCTTTATCATCTAAATCATTATTGACTAAAATCTCAATGAGATAAACGCATGTAGAAGCGAGCCGAGCAAAAAGCTCAGGTTTCTCAGTTTCTGATGTTTTTTTTCTACTAATGAGCTCGGCACAGACTTCCATGATCGTAAGGAGTTTGCTATTATAGGCACTGATTTGGTGGGGAGCAATCAGGAAAGCAGGCTTTCCGAAAATTAATCAGGAGATTTTTTTTCTTCGTAAAGGAGCCTTAAAGCTAGTCTTTCTCATACATCTATATGAGACACGTTACATCAGTGTTCACTTCAGTGGATCTCAAAGATGATTGTCAATGTAACAACTCCACCTAGTGTTCGAAAGCTTTAATGGATCTTTTTTCTTTTTCACTCCAAATGCCTTGTAGCCTGCGCTTGTTTCTGTGCCTTCTGAGCACAGTACTGTGTGTCATGTGAGCCTCAATAAAAACTGATAAGATGTACCAGTGCATTGTTAACCTTTTGTTTCTCTCTCCTCATCACATGCAGCTGTTTGGAGATGTTTGCTACCACTGCAATCGTGTCATTGAAGGCGATGGTGAGGAAGTTAATTTTAATAAATATAATGTATAATGGCTGTTTACATCAGCATTGTTTTGTTTTGTTTTTTACTTTTACTGCTTCTTTATTATATTGAATTTAACTTGATTTCTTCTCATGGTTTGCCTTGAGAATTATTTGTAGCCTGAACTTCACACCAACATTAGTTTAATTTAAACTATAAGTCTACAATCTGCCTCATGTGGCTGCTCCTTCTGCTTTTTTCCCAGTGGTGTCTGCTCTTAACAAGGCGTGGTGTGTCAACTGTTTTGCCTGCTCTACTTGCAACACCAAGCTCACCCTGAAGTAAGTTTTGAAGACAATTCAAGCTGAATTATGAATCTCTGAAGGCTCTCTGTAGACTTTCACATGTGATATGTTTGACGGTTTCTCTGTGTAGTCTGTCACGTTTCTTTTCACTATCCTCCATATGAGACTGTTTGCTGCTGCTACCAAACTGTTTTTTCTTACCTTTCTCTTATGCTGTGTCTCTGATGGCTTATTTCTTCACCTCACCTTCCTTTCATCGTCCTCCTGTCTTGTCCCACTTTCCCCCTTCCCTCTCCTTCATTCCTTTCCCTTCATCTTCTCTCTCTGCCCCTCCTCATGTCTTCCTCCTCTTTCACATTTCCATCTCTGCTTCCTCCCTGCTCTATCAGGGATAAGTTTGTGGAGGTGGATCTGAAGCCGGTGTGCAAACACTGCTATGAGCGCCTCCCTGATGACATGAAACGTCGGCTGGCCAAGCGAGAACGTGACTCAAAAGAGAAGAAGAAGAAATTGATACCCATGTGTCTGTGATCCCTCTCTTTCTGCTCTCTCCTTACTTCAGCTGATTTTTCCTTTGGTCAGTTTTTGTCTTCCTTGCTATCTGTTTCAGTTTTTTTTCCTACTTTCCATGCCACTTTTAACCCTTAGATCACTGATACACTGAGTTCAGTTGGCTTCCAAGGCATGAAACAAAAATACGAGCAGAGAATTGTAGATGACTGAGTATATCTGAGTGACGTAAGACCGGGAACATTTCAGCAAAATGTTCTTTTCCTAGTCGGAAATGCTAGTAAGGATTTAAGCTGGTACTCTTGTAAACTCTGCTGTGCAAACAGGAAAATCAGATCAATCACAGGTTGAAGGGAAAGCTTTGTTTCATGGGTCTCCCAGTCTGTCTGATGTAAGGCGCAAAGCCGTAATCATTTCCGGCAGCTTTCTGGCATCAGCTGTTGAAATTCCGAGGTCCTAACAGTTATGACACATGCGCCACTCCATACAGCGATTATCTACTTTGGGAGGGAAGGCTGTTCAGGGGCAGCTGGCGGAAATTGGTTAGGGAGCTGGCCAAGTTAGTAGAAGTGAACACAATCAGAAGGCACCCAAAGACCTTCGACATCTCTGTAAATATTTTCTTGTAACTCTGTGTCAGCACACACATTGATTTCTGTCAAGGAAAACACAGCCAAGATTCTGTTCATTCAGGAATTGTTATTCATCAAAAGGCATTAAGAATGCCCATGAATCCCAGCATTAAACAGACATAAATTAGGACTGCTTGAAAAACAATGATCAGAATGACTTCATTTAAAGTTGAGACTGCAATTATTAAAAGAGGGATGCGTGTTTCTGTCATCTTGATCATGTCTCAGCCTTGTAGGGTGTCAGTTTTTGTTATGAAGGGTGGGAAAAGATGAGGTCAAGTTGAAAGAAAGGCAGATGTGAAATGTAAATATTAGGTCAGAAGTCAAATGTGACATGATACTTTGAATGCAGAGTATAATGTGATTTTTAGAATCCCCGTATACCAGTATCAGTATCCAAATTTAAGTCTTAAGTTAAGACAGTTGTCTTCTTCTTGTGTATTGTCTTAAAGATAAAAATATGATTAATTGCAGCACCCTACCAGAAACACACATGGGGAGGTGTGCATCTTTGTCCAGGATTTGGGGTTTTGAAATAAAGGTCTGAAAAATAACATTCAAAATTCAGACGTTGCTACGTCCAATTTTTGCAGGAATCAGAGTTTTAATGATGGAATTAAAATGTATTCAAAAATTGGATTTTAAAAGTAATCTCTGAGACTTGTCAGAAACGGGCTTCTGAAGGAATGAGATCATTACAGTGATGCTACACAAATCATATGTTACAAAATAGCAAATAGGTCCTCTCACCTGGAGACAATATCCTCTACTGATCACTGACCAGTCTTCTGAAATACAGCTGTTTCTCTCTCTCTCCCACAGGAACAAGTTTGTGGAGTTTGACATGAAGCCGGTGTGTAAGAAGTGCTATGAGAAATTCCCCCTGGAGCTGAAGAAGAGACTGAAAAAGCTGTCTGAAACTGTTGCAAGGAAGTAAAAACACAGTGGAGCAGCTGGAGAGGGAAAGATAGACGAGACCGTGATGTGGCCGTGTACAAGCCCAGAATTAAAATAAAGAATTTGTGTGTTTTGCAACTGCTATGTTGCATTTAGGTTGGTTATAGCTAGAAAGCATTGCGCTTTCAATTTCATGTGCCGGCAGCTCCGCAGTCACATTGTCGGTCTGACAGCTTTAACATTGTGCCTTGTACCATTTTTGCAGAATTGCTCCACTGTGTGTTTTACACATGCCTGCTAATTTCCTATATTTAAAAAAGTGACATGAGTTTTAAGAGTACATGGAAAGCTGGAGGTAATATGATGACTTAAAAGCTTTGCCACCACCTTTATTGAAAAATATTACTGCTTCATTATTATAACAATCAAGTAAGCCCAAAGAAAGAAAATGTCCTAAATGTGTAAATAACCTCAAATATTTCCAACTTGTATCATTTTATGTAATAGTAGTGTTTATTTCCATTAATATTATGCATAATAAGTATTTTGTCTGCCTTTTTTTTTTTTTGTTGTTTTTTGGACCTACATTTTAATATACAGCATGCTACAGAGGTGGACTCGACCATCACCTGCAGTATGTTGGATTGCCTTGTTACTGTATGTGCTATGTATCTTTGTGTGGCATGAGCTCTGTGCAAATTGGTATTTATTCAGCATTTTTTTTTAAGTTTGCGTTTACAATCTGAATTAATTCAATACAGCCAAAGTGCCGAGGGTGAAATTTTGATTTATTAAATACATGTGAGTGAATAACTGTTACCTGTCAGTGTTCTATAAAACAATCCCTCCCCCGCCTCGATGTGCTGTCAACAAATATTGATCATAACAAGCGTCTGAGCCACAGGATTTATTGAATGGTTACTGCAAACTCACTGGGTGTTACAACATGACGGCTTGTAGCATGTACAGAGACCGGATGTGGGATTGATGTTGAACGTTTCCTCTGTTGTTTGTAATCCAGGGAAAGTGATCCTCTTAGGGAGGTGTACCGACTTCCTCGGGGCTCAGACCCACTTAGGAAAGAAAGCCAAACTGGTCTCATTCTTGCAGAATGCTTCACATGAGCTGCATTTTATCACAAAGCTTTGCTTAAAATACAAGCTCTATAGATAAACACATTCCACTATTTTATCATTATAAAGTGTATGTTACTGCTGTGCATTTCAGTGCAGATGGCACAACTTTCTCTATGTCATATAGAAGTAAAACTATCCGCTGGGCTGATTGTTGTGAGGCAGAATTTCGGCACCTCGAGCCACAAATAGTTCAGTGCATGGTTTTATTTGATACTTTACTACTCTGATGGACTGAGATGACTCTGTGCAAACAGATACTGCTCTGATACTGGATATCATCATTGCAATGTTTGCGAGCAGATTTATTCATGTTAACACACCAAAGTGCATGTTCTCAACTTGAAATTTGGAAAGTTGTTTATTATATTTAATGGCGTTCTGACACTTCATCAAAATAAACACATATGCCAATGCTACCGGTGTGTGTGTAGTGATTTATTTGGTTTACAGCTTCTTACCATTCTTGAAGTGTAATGTGAAACCAGCAGCAGGCTCAGGATTCACAAGTGTTGCGTAATGTTTAATGACACCCCAATTTTCACATACGGTATGTTGCATTCGGGTCCACGTTAAATGGGAACATGCTTGATTTTTATGTTTATCAAGTATATTAGCAGCATCTCCACATTCTCATATACACACACATATGAAATGACTCAGAGGACTACTAATGGACATTATGCACATGTGTGCAACACTAAACAGCCATTAGCATCTGCAGGATAGTCAATATGACAATCATAATCTGAAACAGCATCCATCTAACTTCAGAAGTTATTAAGAGCACAAATCAATAGAGTTCAAGACAAAATTGTTGGCCATATCCAGATGTTAGCTAACTCTCAGTCACATTCAGCTAACAGAAAATAATTAGAAATACAACTGCAACATGTTTGACTATTAAAATACCAGTTCAAAACATAAACTGATAGAATAAATATTTATTACTAGAATTATGCTGTAAGTTTATACAATGACAATCATGCAGAGTATAAAACTTTTGGGAATAAAGTTAAAGATAAAAAAAATACAGGAAGATTAATCAGTGTACAATATCAACTAAAGAAAGGCAACATCCAAGATGATACATACTTACAGACAAAAGAACATCAGTTTTATTAATACATATCTTCAGAGTACACCAGCTGGAGTATTTTCATTTATATTCTACCTCCTTTTGCCTTCAGCACTGCCCTAATTCTCTGTGGTATGAATTCAATAAAGTTCTGGAAACATTTCTGTGAGATTTTGGTTCATGTTGAAATGATGGTTTACATTTTCAATAAATAAGAGATTACTGGTTTGATCGCAGGAGAAAACAAAAAATCTACCAAATCAAATATGTAGAATTACCTGCTGTGGTGGCCTTTTTACAAGCTGCTGAGTAGTACTGGCATGATAGCATCACGCAGATCCTGCAGATTTGTTCTCCTGTTCCAACACATCCCAAACGCGCTCTATTAGATTGAGATCTGGTGACTGTGGACGCCATTTGAGTGCAGTGAATTCACTGTCATGTTTGAGAAGGAGACAAGGAGAGTCATGCTACTGAAAGCAACCATCAGAAGAGAGGTGCATGGACATGATTAGCAACAATACTTAAGACTGCTGCATTTCAGCAATACTGAGTTGGTACAAAAGGGCCCCAAGTGTGCCTATAATTACCATTACAGCATCACAAGAATCGGAATCTTTTTTATAGTTGTTGTGCAATGGAACATTGAAGACTTTTCTTTTTCTGACTATTGTTAGTCAATCTTAGATGTGGTTATGTGTAAAAATCCTAGTAGATAATCAGTTTCTGAAATCATACTCAGTTGACTCCATCTGGCACCAACAACCAGTCACCCAAATCACTTCTCCATTCTGATGCTCAGTTCATAATGGGTGATGAATGTGTGTGTAGCTGATAAAGTTCAAATGGGCATTGCATATCACAGCTTTTCCTCGACAACTGCTACTCATTCACATGTGCAGAGGTTTTGATGAGAACACTTTGGAATAAAACAGGTGACTAAAAAGTGTTCTTAAATACAAAATACTTGACTGAAGCTTAACAACAGAAACAGACAGGAAAAATCTGCAAAGGTATCAGCCTATACAAATGGACATGATATAGCATGATTTGTTTAAGTTAATAGTATTGGTTACACATATACATGGTTTAAATATCTGTTTGTTTAATTTAATTTATGTAACAAAAGTTAGCCAAAATATTTAGCAAATTAAGGATTAAGGCTTAATTGTTGGAGAAATGAGGATTTTCAGGTATTTGTAACAGAACCCTTCAAACTGAAATGCGTCAGTCTGCGTCAAACTGAATTCTTGTTCTCATTGGTTAAGAAGTCACGTGACAGCTGCCGTTTGACGGCATTGAGACTGCGCAATACCATCATGGGGAGTTTACGTCAGGCGAGCTGATGTTCGCGTCAGTTTTGTTTTAAATATTTAGTGAATTTCTGGTTTTCTATGTATCACATTCAGCCGCTGTAGAAGCCCCTGACCTTGGAAGCTATGCGGCGAAGTAAGGCTGAAGTGGACCGTTACGTTTCCTCTGTGCAGAGTTCCTCTCCCTCACTCAAAGAGGTAAGTTAAGCCCGCCGAGGCTAACGTTAGCATGCTGCTGCCATCATGTCAGATCAGCCGGTATGAGGTACGACCTGTTCACATGTTCAATGAGCACTCGTTGCTTTTTTGATTATGATGACGGTATTTCGGTTGACTCATATATCGTTCTCTGTATAACCCCCGTCCCCCGGATAGTCTTAAAGACTATAGCTAACCGACCGGCGTGATGACGCCCCGTCGTGTCCTCCCCTTTATACTCGGGAAAATGCGCGGCATGGGATCCCTTGAACAGCGCCAGCTAATCAGCTATGCTAGTTAGCCACGACAGCGAGACAAAGCTAGTTGGATAGGGTGTGCAAGTTTCATTTCTCTGGAAAAGCGAGGTTTCGGTTCAGACAACAATTAAAAATGCTCGTTGCTTCATTGTATCAGGAGCAGCAAGCCTAACTTTGTTCAAAAACTGGTGGTTTTAGCATAATTGCAAACAGACTTGTCTGTTAATCAGGCACAGTTCCAACGTTTCTTGATTTGTTTTCGTTCTTTTTAAGTATTGTTTATTCGTTTATTTATTTGGATCGGATGTGACGGGGGAAACTGCTGCACCCACAGAAAATCAGAATATTTAATGAGAAATAAATGCAGTGTAAGAAAACATTGAATGCATCAGAATTCGGGCTTATCAACAGTCTGAAAGTGGCTTAACTAATAGTGATTAGTTCGAAAGTGTACTGAAATGACAAAGAATACAGAAATATATGCTAGTGTTATTATGAGATCTTGATCATTTGTTTTGTAGATATCTTTTTAATGTTGCAGCTGAAAATGTTGGTTTAATTGCTTATACATATCTACACCTACACCATGGCAGCATAATATGCTAGTCGATCAGTCAATTACTTGAGTAAATGTGGTGCTATGTGGTCAGTGGTCCTAACCATGCTCTCAAGTTGCTTTACCTAGTCAGGGTTTTGTTTTTGCGTAATTCCAACGATATTTTGGTCTTACATCAAAGTAAAGTCATCAGGATTGTGTTGTTTGTTTGTTTTTATTGATGTAGTGTGTGTGGTTTAATGTACTCAAGCTTAGAATACACTTTGTGTGCTTAAGATCAAAAGTAATTTAAAAAAATGCACGGACCTCTAGAATAGAATAAACCTTTATTATCCCACGAATGACAAATTTGGGTGTTACAGCTCCTAGAGCAAGGGGAATATAAAGTATAAAAGGAAGACAGTGGTCCTATATACATAAGCAACTGAAGTTCGTGTATATACAGGTAACAATGTATAGAAAAAGTAAAAAGTTAGGCCACCCGTTGTGCTTACATGCATAGTCACCCTCCCAGAGGCTTGTTTTCAGTCAGGAGAAACCTTGGTATTGTAAGATTAACAGTCTAGCCCAATGGTATTTGTAGAGTTGCACCAGTAAAGCCAAAAATGTAGTTTTGTTTGACAATAGATTCGCACTACTACACATACTTGTGCATTTTGTTGTGTACAGTAGTGTGTGTAGTCTGGAGACATTTGCCTGAAGAATTAAATCACAAGATTGGGTGTCATGCTGTTCAGAGCTTAAACCTGTATTCTTATCAGCAAAATGCATTCCTAAACAAACATACAGAAATTAAATGTTTTTGTGATTTGTAAGTAAAATGTAATTATGAAGGACTTTTTAAGACGGGAATCTATTTTTAAAAAGTGCGTTACAGGGAATTTAAAAATACATCAGACAAAAACAACGTATTGCACAAGAGCATTACCCAATTGCCTGTCTAAATAGATGAATTTTCAGCTTTTTATTTTTTATTATAAAGAAGCATCATAGTGCGTAGAGGGAGAGGTAAACTGTTCCACAGTTTTGACGCTAAGGTTTGGATTGCGTGATCCCTCTTTGTTTTGAAATGGGTCTGTGGAATAGCCAGAAGAGCACTATCTACTATCAACTTATTCTACGTTGTTCACCTGACACTGAAAAAGTCAGTGATAATAGTTGTAGTGTGGTGGGTAGGAGAAGCTAGCAGTAAATCTGACAATGGGTAATGCTGTAATCACGATGGCTAAGATGTTACTAACTTTAGCCCCTGGGAGGAATAATTTCCCAAAACTACATTTTAGTTAATTCCTCAGGATAAAAGATGTTTTGGTTTGGTTTTTTTTTTGGTTTTTTTTTTCCTTTTTGTGGGGGTGGGGTGTGTAAATACCACAAAGCTGATCACTTGATCAAAACTAGATAATGAACAAAAATATCTTTCACTATTCTGATGTATTCCCACTTCACAAACTACTTGAACCATCTATAAAAAATTATGGATGGGCATGATTTAACTAGGCATTGGCAGCTCCATCTGCAGGATTTATTTATTTATTTTTTTTGTATGGCTAAAAATGGGCCTTTGAGTTTGGGTATAGTTACTAAGCAGGTACTGAGTACTGGTGAGTATTTAAATCCCAGTAAGCCAGATAACTCTTCAGGACATGTGTAATTGCATCTTCTCACTATCATAACAAGATGAATCCATTTCCTCATCCTGGTCCACATATTTTTTTTTCTCTCCACAGAAGCCAGTCAAAGGGTTTTTATTTGCTAAATTGTACTTTGAAGCAAAGGAATATGATCTTGCAAAAAGGTAAGCATGTGAGCCTCTCCATTGTTTTGACCCAATGCTTGTGTGTCGCTATATTGTTTGTAATTCCTGTCTTTCATGCTTTTCCTAGGCATGTGTCAGACTATCTCAAGGTCCAGGAGAGGGATCCTAAAGCACACAAGTTCCTTGGACAGCTCTACGAGAGAGAGGGAGACATCAACAAAGCAGTTGGATGTTACAAGGTAAAAAGAACATCTTAGTGGA